GCTGATAGACTGCATCATCAGCCGCATGACAGCCCTGCAAGGCAACTCGTATTGTTTTGGGTAGCCGACAACTTCCTTTCACGCCTTTGTTGTTTCTGAAGATTATGAACAGCTAGAAATGTCACTGTCGCGACATATATCATCAGGATCCGTGGGTATGATCGCCAGTTACTAGTTCTGAATGTAGAGTTCCCGATCTGGGAGCAGGGAAAACCACTACGCCGTAAGTGCGCTCGTCTGACCTGATTCGTCGTGATTCTGAGAGGAAAAAAGGCGGTTTACGCGCTATTCATATAAATAGTCAAGTGTTGATGATATCTAATCCTATCCGAACCGCCTCTTCCTAGCCTGTCTCGTATCGCTCGCTTTCCACGCCTCTGGTACATCCTAGAAGATTTTCGTCGAGAATATCAGTTTACTCGTTCGCTTTCATCTCATGTTGCGAAAAGTTTCTTTAATTTTCAAGATTAGACTGTTGTATAGAGATGGTGCAGGTGGGCCAGAGCTGGTTGGGGATCTCCATGCTGCACCCGGACGCTTGTAGGGAGCCCCAAACTATGGTTCTGATTACTACAGTTGCTCGAGAATTTGAAGACTACCGCTTAAGTCTGAAAATGCTGTTCTCTCCAGAATTGTTGCTTTGACAGTAAGGAGGAGAGTCATGTGCAGATTTTTTCCGTCTTCCCCATTTTTGATATTCTCCTTTTTAACTTGACGGCCAGTTCTGCGCGCACCTTTTCAATTCTGTAGTCCATCTCCACCTTCCTAAATTGTGGGCTCCGTCAATGGATGATCAAAGATCAGCGCCGCTACTATCTCTATATTACCACATATGATCAGCTGGGCGCAGTTCGGCGCCGAGAGGGGGAGGGAAGAATTTTGCCCTTACGTTGCTTCTTGACTAGTTCTGTTTTACAAGCCTAACTATGGTGACACCTTGAATTCCCACCATGGGAAATGGTATTTGTATGGTATTTCAATCCTTCAGAAGAGTTGGACGAGAGGTCTTTGAAAGCTTTAGCTGGTATCATTTCTTCACAAGGTTTCTCAGTCTCCACATGATGGCTCTACACGTCGATGGGAAGTAGCAAAGGTGCAAAATGCCCCTCCCGTCGCCAAACTGCGCCAACCTGCTGAGCCCGAAACGCCCTGCGATTTTGTAACAACCGTTATAGCTACCTACGGAACGTCAACAAATACCGCGATAAACGAACGCCGCTTTCCGATAGTCAGACTTTTTCGCGACAGCTCTGCACAAACGATTGAAATGCTCCAGGTATCCCGAGCTAGGAGGATCCGCTGAAACTACTTTGACTACCAATAGGGGCAAGAGGAGACCTTTTTGGTGCCTGGTCGAGAAATGTAATGAGCAATGAGCCGACATTTTATAGATTCCTTATCATGAGGTGGAGTAGGCGAGGCATTTTTCATGACCTAGAATGGGTTACTCGTGGGATATTTTGATTGAGACAATAGACATCCTGTTCCGTGTTGGACAGAGACATGATCACAATTGCCTCAAAATGAAAATATCTCACCAAAAGCACGGCCTTTGCCGCGTTTAGTTGAAGTACGCAGCCCCGCCTACCACATCTCAGGAATATCGTGTGTAATCATCTTCAAGGAATAAAAACTGCATGCTTGGCGCCTACTTGGCTGCTTTCAGTGGCGAAGTCGAAGATCGCGAAATGGAGGCCAACAAGGCCTTTCAATCTTGCAAAAGCTTGAAACTGGCTGAAAGATCAGCATCACGGCAAGAGATTACTGAGCTGGTTATTGGCAAAATTGAGACGGCACTGGGCCGCAACTAGCTGACCATTACTCCTTGCATGATAAGTTCACGGGTATATCCACCACGCCTAGGCAGCCGAGAAAAAATGCTTCAAGTCGGGTCGCATGCGCGGCATTTGCACCAGGATTAAACGTGATCAAAGTGCGGTGCCTTACTTAGAACGGCTAGGAAACATGGTCCTTGCCATTAAAACCACGGACCCTTTTATGGCCTCTCCAGGGTTTTCACTTTCCTTATGGCTTAATAATGTTAATTGTTCTTTATCCCCTTTCTTTGGAGCAACGTTTTCTGTAATTCTTGTCAAACTTTTGGAATTATTGAAGCCATTTAATGAACACGCTGAACATTTCAGATGCTCATCTTCTTTGTGTGCATGGCCATGCTTGGGGTCGTCCGGGCGATTCCGGTCGACAACGGTGTTGAAGGAGAGCCTGAGATCGAATGCGGGCCCTCTTCGATCACAGTGAACTTCAACACGAGGAATGCGTTCGAGGGTCATGTATATGTGAAAGGTTTATATGATCAAGCCGCCTGCAGAAACGACGAAGGTGGCCGACAAGTGGCTGGCATCGAATTGCCCTTCGACCAGTGCAATACTGCTAGGACTAGGTACGTTTTTGCCACCCTTCTCGAGGGCGCTATCCGCTATTAAAGGATGGGCGGAGAAAAGTACAGAGACTCATTTACCACTGTGCCTTCCTCACGGTGTGCGACCATTTCGTAATAAGGGGCGGCGGTTAGTGGAAACGGATGAAAGTCCATGAGTCTCCACCCATTTGTTGTCCCATTAATATTTATGGTGGATGGAATGTGTCTTGAAGTCCTCCATCGACAGCAAATTTTCCAGGTCGCTTAACCCTCGTGGAGTTTTCGTCTCGACCACCGTAGTGATCTCATTCCATCCTCAATTTGTTACCAAAGTCGATCGAGCCTATAAAATCCAATGCTTCTACACCATGGAGCTGACACGACGTTAGCACTCATTGAGTCTCTGAGTTGACCACCGCCTTCCAGACCCAGGTTGTACCAATGCCTGTCTGTAAATATGAGATTCTTGAGGGAGGACCAACTGGAGCTCCTATTCCTTTTTTTTTTTTTTTTTTTTTTTTTTTTTTTTTTTTTTTTTTTTTTTTTTTTTTTTTTTTTTTTTTTTTTTTTTTTTTTTTTTTTTTTTTTTTTTTTTTTTTTTTTTTTTTTTTTTTTTTTTTTTTTTTTTTTTTTTTTTTTTTTTTTTTTTTTTTTTTTTTTTTTTTTTTTTTTTTTTTTTTTTTTTTTTTTTTTTTTTTTTTTTTTTTGCGAAACATTTGGCCAGCAGGTGAGAGTCTTTCCCATACTTTCTCTTTTTCCCTTCCACAAAAGTTACTTCAGGTGTACCACAAATGGACTTGCGATTCGGAGACGACCGACACCTTCTGCGCCGTTGTTCACTCTTGTACCGTCGATGATGGCAACGGTGACACTGTACAAATCCTTAATGAAGAAGGCTGCGCTCTCGATAAATTCCTGCTCAATAATTTGGAATATCCGACGGATCTGATGGCTGGCCAGGAGGCTCACGTCTATAAATATGCCGATAGGTAACGTTAGAGAGTAAATTAAATGGAACTCTCTGTATATGTCGCTGGCACTCATGGCAGCGGTGTCGTTCAGGTCACAGCTGTTCTACCAATGTCAAATTAGCATCACAATCAAGGAGCCGAATACTGAGTGCCCACGTCCACAGTGTCCAGAGCCTCAAGGATTTGGTGCAACTAAGGTAATGCTGAAATTTGAAAGTTTTTATATTGGAGCCACAGGAAGGTCTGTAGGGTCACGACGGCATTTCACAATATCAGCAGCGTGTTGGGAGAGGGCGCTAATATACAGTCCTCATCATTACGTACTGTCGGGGCGGTTCAGTGCGGCTGCGTTTGGCGCGGGGCCAAAGTCGTTCTGCACCAGTTGTTGAAGCGGGCAAGTGACATTACTGTATTATATCCTCCGTATTACTCGTTTTCTACCACTTTTTGTCGCATACGCGTTTCAACAAAAAGGCTGAGAACGGCTTCAACAGTGTGCACACTCATACTGGCTGACACGCCCCACCGGTGATGAGGACTGTATTCTTCACCACTTCACAGCCTCCTTCTCCTCACAGTCCCACTAAAGCGCCTT